TAGTTATATTTATACAAAACAAAATATCGAATATTCCATTTTCGTCAGTTTGCAGCATATTCGATATTTTGACCAAAACAAAATGACAAAATGTTCATATTCGATGGTTTAGACAGAATATTTCCCGCGTTTCTGATCAAGCTACAATTTCGATATTTTGCTACAAGGTGTATCACGTTTAATGCAAGGACAGGGTATCGAATCTGAAAAACCCGATTTTTCACATTCGATAGTTGGAAATGGTAGGGACGAAATGACTAGACGGTTTTTAAAAATCGAAGAAAATATTTCAATATCAGAAGCAACAGTGCTGGATCCCAGATTTAAAAGACAAGGTTTTTGTGCGTCCCACTATTTTTAAAAAGCAAAACAAAATGTAATTAATGCAGCCAGTTACCTTGTAACATTTTTTTTATAATTAAAATATTAATTATTTTTATTCCTTTTACCCCCGTGATAATACGCTGATGGTCGGTTTACCATCTTCAAATTTTTATTGAATGTACGGAATTTCCCTGAGTACGAAAGTATCTAAGTCTAATCCTTTCATTTTTAATCCTGAGTATGAATGAAACTAAATCTTTCCGGCTTTAGGCGGGTTTATGTTTGATATTTTGGCAAATAAAATAGTCGAAGGCATTTTATGGTATGTTCGGTAAAAACTCAATCTAGAAGATTTATATTTTATCACGTTTGCAGCTAGAAGGGTACCGTTATGTTCGATGTTCGTTAGAACTTTTTACGTTCTCAGAAATACATACAACTGGCATATGATTTTTAAGTGGGAGATATCCCTTCTTTTTTTTTTGTGGTAGTTTGGGAAATTTTTATAGAAGAGAGACTCACTTCTGACTTGTTATCTTACCGTCTGTGAATTGTGTGTATACACTTTATATTTGAGTTTTTTTGATCTTATACTATTTAAATTAAATATAGTTATAAAGTATCTTCAACGTTAATTAAATTCACTGTTTAATAGAAGTATAGTATTAGCTTCAGTGAATAAGTGCAGTAGACATCAAGATTTACTGTAAGTAATATCTATAGTAATCTATCTATGTATCTAATGTATCTATGTAAGTTCTATATTTTTTTACGAACTTTCCATCAGCTACTAAGAAATTTCCATAAATATTATTTACGAACATTTAGTTCTCAATCATTAAATAACAGTGCGAACCGATAGTCGACTTAACCAAGTGCGGTTTGGTTAAATTTTTATTTCCGTAACCTTTTTGTATTCTTGTAAATTTAGATTTGACTAATTTTTGTTATCTTTTGTGTTTGTTGTAATTTTTATTCATTTTTTTTGCTGTAATATCTCGAGATACGCCAAAACTTTATTTGTGCATGATTGTATTATATATCTTTGTAAAGGTATTTTCTAATTTTATTACTGCTTATTTTTATATGTATACCACCATTTCATATTTGTTGGTGTATTTGTATCTTGTGTGTACATTTAGTTACCGATATCATTTTGTTGTTGAATATATTGTGTTTGTTTTATGTACGCATTTTATTTGTCGACTAATAACAAGTTTCCTGATATAACAATAACTCTGAATATTTGCTTTTTACCTTTAATTTTTATTATGCCTTTGACCAGTAGACAGATCAGACTGATTAAGTTTCGTATGCAAGTAGGTATAATACCTAATATAATTATTATTTGTTTGTGTAGAGTGGTAACCAAATCTTATGGTATCTTTGGTAATTTTACCCATCTTTTTGTTTATTTCTGTATCTATTCCAATATATCTTATCTTGTTCTATCTTCACTTATTTCGTCCGTTGGACCCATTCCCGGTACCAAAAGTTAGTTTCGAACCCACGACTCGCTCTCCACCAACCATCTGACTGCCGTCCGCAGTGTGTATATTGGTGACCTTTCTAGCACCATCCAAAAAAAGTTTCCGAGGTTACAACCTTAATAATAGATCAGAAGCAAATGAAAAAACTGTAAATGTTTCGAGTAAAACAATCTGGACCAACACAAGCTCTCTCCATATGGGACGAGTAAAATACAACTGCCAGTTTAGTCGAAACTGATAATTCATTGTCGGCTAGTATTGTTGAAATTAATCGATACATACAAGAGCCATTACTTAAAGTTCTCAAAAACCCTCTATTGTGGTGGAGGGATCGAAAAATAACATATCCTCGACTTTTTCAATGAATACAGAGAAAATTATGTGTTACTGCCACATCCGTGTCGTGTGAAAGAATATTTTCGAAGGCAGAAATGGTATTAAACGAAAAAAGAATGAGGTTAAAGTCAGACAAAGGGCGTAAATTATTATTCATTAATAGTAATGGATTTTTGTTATAGTTTTGTGAAATTATTTTTAGATTTACTAGAAAAATAACTTTATTTTTAAAAAGGTTTATTTTTATACATTTTAAATACCTGTATATATTTTTTTCTTTCTTTAAAAAACATTTGTTGTTTTTTTTATTAAAAATATTTTTTTTAAACTAATATATTTTTTAATTTACCATTTTATAGGCCGAATTCAGCTGACGTCACTTTTTGTGGACTCCCGAACCAATCACGAGCGTAACTGAACGATAGACGACTCGATTCGATTGTAAACAACGGTTCATGGTCTACCACCGTTCAATAAATTAATTCATTTGTCGACCACGAACTGATTCATTTGATACTACTCAAGTGATTCTCTTGTTCTTTTTTCGCGAATTAGACATGTCTAAATTAAAGTAGAAACTAGCGACAACAAGAATAGTTATAGTTATGGTGATTAGTGAAAATAATAAACAGTTAAACTATAAATAATAAGTTAGTTAAAATAGTAAAAATAATAAACAGCCAAAAAAATTATAAACAATAAGTTGGTGAAAATAGTGGAAATAATAAACACCCATAACAATTCTAAATAATAAGATGGTGAAAATAATAAACATCCAAAATAAGTTAATATATACAAATAGTGCAGTGAACGGTAACCTTAACAGTAAAAGTGCAAGATGAAAAAAGTGCACCATGGCAGAAGACATATCCCGTATCTCCATGGGTCTCTAAAGAGCTCCGGACAGCCGTTGAATTCTTCGAAAAAAGAGGAATGACGATTAAAGGTTGATTCAGACACGTCGTAGCCACAGACGGTACAGTCAAGATTGCTTCTGTGGTTTTTTAATGAGGCAATTCGCACGCACGGGCACGGTACAGTCACAATCACGGTACCGTAAAGGCCGATTCACATTATAGCTCAGATCACGCTCCGCTGACGCTCAGCTCAAGGTTCGGTCAAGTATTCTTACACGCATCTTAAATGGTGCTATTCACAGTAAACACAACGCTCACGTTCCGTCCCGCTCTTTTGACCGCGGCGATTCTCCAGGAGAACAGTTTGAGCGTGACTTGATCTGAATAAAGCGGAGCGGCAGGGTAGTGAATTAGTAACAGTCAGGTGAAGGTATGATTTTCGCAGCTTGACGGATGACGAACAGTTGAATGAATTGGTGTGCTGCTGTAAAGAATTGTACAACCAGGGAGATAGACTGTATTTTAATACGGTACATAAAAATAAAAGATGGAAGGAAATTGCCATTAAATTAAATAAAACAGGTAAGCATTGACTGTATATTTTTAATTAAGGTTATAAGTGCATATACTTGTTAGAAATAATAATTACACCCAACATCAGAGTTAAAAAAGTTTTTCAACGTTTCTCGGACGAGAAACGCACTTTCATGAGCATTCCCTCCTTTTCTTGACAATGACGAAAACTGAGTCCGTCCTTCTTGAGGTACAAATAATTCGCTTGAAACCACAGGTTGTAAAACAGCATCTTCTCGCAAAAAATTACGCAAAATACATCTAGTCAAAATGATATTTTCTACATTTATGGGTTTGGAATTTAATTTTCTCATATATATGCGAAACTTTTGAGCCAAAATTCCAAAAGCGTTTTCTACAACACGACGAGAACGACATAACCGGTAATTGAAAATTCGTTTCTTGCTATCGTTATTGGCTTGAGGTTCTGGGTATGGTCTCATAAGATTTGTTTTCAAAGGAAAAGCAGAATCACCAATTATTACGTACCATAATAGCTGTTCCAATAAATACTGTTTCTTCAGGAATATGAATCGGTCCCTGCTTTAGAGCTCCTCCCAGCTTTGAGCTAGCAAATATTCCTCCGTCACTATTCTTACCGTAGGAACCAATGTCTACTGCAATGAACTTGTAATGTGCGTCCACTAGTCCTAGCAGCACGACCGAAAAGGTACGTTTATAATTAAAAAAATGTGATCCACTATTTGCAGGTGCTACAATTTCCACATGTTTATCATCCAACGCTCCCAGACAATTGGGAAAATTCCACAAATTCCAAAACTCGTATGCTATTTCTTTCCAGCGTGCTTCTGTCGGTATTGGCATACATTCTTGTAGTAGATTTTTTATAATGATTTTACATACTTCTGTCACTATTTCTTGTATGGTAGGGTGGCCAAGACGGTAACTAAATGCAATAGTTCTGAAGGAATCTCCTGTTGACAAAAGTCTAAAACAAAATTTTATACAAAATATTTTTTTGAGGCGTACAGACAATTTTTTCTTAAAACGTTTATGCTTTCAGTGGGATTCAAACCCTCGACCTTTGTATATCAAGTGTAATGCAGTAACTAACCGCACTATTGAAGGACATGAGTATATTTCAGCTGCTCAAGAAAAGCTTCGTTAGTTTTGTTACTATATACGATATATGTATGTACTTGTACTCGATAAGCAAAGACCGTGTGTTTGAATCCCCCTTGATGTAAAAACTTTTTTATTTAAAAAACCTTGCAATACAATAACCAAAATAAGTGTACTAATATTTTTCATTTATTTTAGCGGAGGAATGTAAAGATGGGAATCGTTGCGCTCTCAATATCGAAAAATTTCCAAGCTCCGTGAAACAAAAACGGGTCAAGCCGCGATTAAAAGAAAGAAATGGAGGTGTGAAGAGGAACTGGCATTTTTGATACCACACATGAGAGACAAGGAACGCGTATCTACAATAATCGATATTGCAGAGAACACCTCTAATAATAATGAGGAAGCTTTATCGATACAAGACGAAAATGAAGGAGGAAATGAGGAAGCAGAACAGAGTACCTCACAAATTTTTTCTACTACGCCAGTTTCAGTACCAAACATTTGGTCAGGCATCAAAAACAAAAAGTTGACACAGAAAAAAGCTCGATCTTCAACAGAGAGCGCAAGTGCAGCACTAATGCAATATATTCTCAGTAAAAAAGAAGAAGAACATGCAGAGCAACAAAATACAAAGAAGGACCACATAGATTTGTTTTTCGGCAGTATTAAAACAACAGTGCGTACTTTTTCACCAGCTGATTATCAGCTTGTCAAAATACTGTCGCAGATATTGAAAACAAATATAATTGTAATTTAAAAAAATAAAAATAGAATAAATTACTGAGAAACGTTAAGAGACGTTCCTTAACAGTCCGTCGCAGAAAAACGAAAATATTTTTTTATTTTCTTCAGTTACGTTATATTGAGGTTGCACGTATTTAAGTATATAAGTAGTCTAAATTAAATTGAATAGCAATGAAAAACAGCAATTAAAAAATGTTTGACATTACAAGTTATCTTTTTTAATTATAAGTTCATAGCTGTCGGTAGATGCTGGTCCCCTTTTGCTATTGAATATTTTGCCATGGGACAGAACCCTCTTCAGAACTAAAATAGGCTGTAAATTTTTCGCTATTATCAAAAGCAGACAAAGCGCGTTTGATCCAAATCCTGGTAGACTTTCTAGTACACACACTCTCTCTCTTCATCTGAAAGCGAAATTTGAAGATAATGGGGTGTATTCTGTAATATTTCCGTTAAATTTAAGAGGCCTCTAAAATTTAACTTTTAACGGTCCTCTTAAAGTTTTAGGTAACATTGACATTCTGTAGAGAAATATTATAGAGGATCGTGTTTAAACTACTTGTAAGGTAGAAAATGACCAAAAACTTAAAACAGAAGAAGAAATTGACAGTCTGCTTGACTTATGAAAATATATTTGTATTTCAGTTTATTTGTATTCGCGTTGGGTTTATTTTCGTTAATTTCGCTTGAATAAAATTTCAATATGTCTCGTGCTCTACGAACCACAAAAGCCTAAAATGAGTTATTAATAAGCTTCCTAGAAGAAAACAAAATTCTAACTATGATTAAAGTAAATCCTAGTGAATTAGGAAAAGTCCATGTATTATTGGAAAAGATGGTGATGGAATTAAATAAAATGGGCGCCCAAAACTATAAAAGCGTGGAAAGATGTAAGTATAACTCAGCAATATAATAAATGTATGTATATATTAGGTTCATTCTTAAATAAGAAGCAAGTGTGCACCACATGGCACATGGTTCCCAGAATCAAAAATGTAATTTGTTGCCATGTAATGCAATTATGTCTTATATCTCTAGATTTTTGTCTTTGGGTCCTAAGTTTAGCATAGAACCTATCTTAGGGAAAGATATCCCTATTAAGGATATGTTAGCTGACGTTGAAACAATCTTACATTCTGTCACTGATGTGCATCAGAGGGACATACTTATAGCTAGGTCAACATACATTATTACTGATTACTTACATAAAAACAGTAACAAAAATAACTTTAATTTTTTCAGAGCTATGTTACAAAAACTCTAAGCAAGTTTCTTAGTGAAAACACTAACATCATTGTCATGCCTTCAGACAAATGTAATGTAACTGTAGTTCTGGAAAAGCAGAGATATCTAGATCTATGTCTTGAATTGCTAAATTCCGATAATCTTTATGAAAGGTTGAACAGAGATCCAACCAACAATGTTCAAACCAGATGTAACAACCTCATTAACTCAGTAACTCAAGGCAGATAGATGAAGCTACAAAGAAAAAACTAACTAGCTACAAGTATGTAGCCACATGTATTGGTGCCCCCACCAACTTATTAGCATCTTTTTTAACTGAAATCTTATCCAACGCGTATGTGTCGAATGAATATTACATAAAAAATTCGTTTGATGTTTTCAATAACTTTAACAACTATCAATTACCTGATGGCTATGTGATTGTCAGTCTAGATGTAGTTTCATTATTCACCAATGTTCACTTAGATGCAGCTTTAACAGCGATTGAAAACAATTGGAATTTTATCAGTTCTCACTGTAATATTAACTTGGAGTACTTCAAAAAACTCATCTCTTTTCTGTTTAATAACACCTATTTCACATTCAACAATACTGTGTTTAAACAAACACAAGGAACTCCTATGGGAACTACTATCTCTCCCATTTTGGCCTGCTATGTGATGGATCATCTACTAGATATGGTTATCCCAGAATTGTCCTTTCATATTCCTTTTGTTAAAAAGTATGTGGATGACTTAATCCTAGCTATCCCCAGCAATGGATCCACAGAAATCTTAAATGTATTCAATAGGTATGATCCTCTACTACAGTTCACAATCGAACATGAGAACGATCTATGCTCAGTCCCCTTTCTTGACACCCGGTTCATTAGAACCCCAAATAACTCCCTTGTGATCGACTGGCATAGAAAACCTCATAGTTCTGGATGCTTCCTCAACTATTGGTCATACCATAGACATTCAATCAAAATCAACCTACTTAAACAAATGAAGGCTAGAATTATATCCATCAGTGACCCTTCTTTCCATCAGAAGAACCTGAGAATCCTGTTCAACCTTTTCATGGACAATTCATATCCAAAACCCTTAGTCACCAAGATTCTATTTAGTTTGACCCCTAACATAGCACGCCGAAATGATGAGATACAAATCAATGTCACAAATGGACAACACAATACCAATTGCTCATATACTTCACTGAAATACATAAAAAAGCATAACACCCAGACTGACAAGACTTTTTAAAGATGTCACCAATTTGAAAATAGCGCATAAAACTTCATTAACTGTAAGATCCATCTATTCTAAGGTTAAAGATAAAAGTAACATCAAAGATTGTTCCAACGTTGTCTACCAGATCCCTTGCAATAACTGTAATTTAGTATATGTGGGACAAACCACACGTAACCTAGGCAGTCGCCTAATCAGTCATCGTAGCGACAGTAGACTATATCCAGAAAGATCTGCACTTGCAGAACATGTAAATAAAGAACATCATATAGGTAAAGAAATAATAATAAGACTTACTCACAATCAATTTAATTTAACAATCTGACGATCGGTTTCGCTTTCTACAATTTGCAAAGCATCTTCAGGTCTAGATACAAAGTTAAACTAATGCTGCAATAAAATAAACCCAATTAGGGTGGTGTCTAATAAAGATAAAATAAATAAATAAGTTAGTTCATACAAATTATAGTAATTATGCCAATATTACATGTCTGTGGTTTTCAAAATGAATAAATTTGAATATATAAAAGGTATTAACAGACAAGGTAAGACCCACAATTGGTATAAAGTAGTAATATTATATTGTAATGAATTAATAAATGAGCAGATAAATAAAACAAAAACAAACATTACTTGCATGCCGGTACTCTATTAATTGATGGATGGTAGGTCATGGTTGCAAAAATCATGTATTGTTGATTGGAGAACTTTAATGTGCTATTGCAGTTGTTTTGACAATAAACGGGAAGTTCTTGAGGAGAACAGATTTGATCCAATGATCCAATCATTGGATCAAATCTGTTCTCCTCAAGAACTTCCCGTTTATTGTCAAAACAACTGCAATAGCACATTAAAGTTCTCCAATCAACAATACATGATTTTTGCAACCATGACCTACCATCCTTCAATTAATAGAGTACCGGCATGTAAGTAATGTTTGTTTTGTTTTATTTATCTGCTCATTTATTAATTTATTACAATATAATATTACTACTTTATACCAATTGTGATTCTTACCTTGTCTGTTAATACCTTTTATATATTCAAATTTATTCATTTTGAAAACCACAGACATGTAATATTGGCATAATAACTATAATTTGTATGAACTAACTTATTTATTTATTTTATCTTTATTAGACACCAATCTAATTGGGTTTATTTTATTGCAGCATTAGTTTAACTTTGTATCTAGACCTGAAGATGCTTTGCAAATTGTAGAAAGCGAAACCGGTCGTCAGATTGTTAAATTAAATTGATTGTGAGTAAGTCTTATTATTATTTCTTTACCTATTTGATATGGACTCACACAAGCAACACATTCATGATTTAAAGAACATCATATTATGAATTACGATTCAGTCAAAATTTTAGCTACTGAGTCCAATTACAATAAAAGACTTTTTTAGAAATGGCATTCATTGCACAAAACTCAAATGCAATGAACAAAAGGAGTGACATTAATCAATTGAGCACTATATACTCCTACCTATTATATTTGGATGGATCATCACAATTCAATGATGTTTCAATGACTGATTCGTTGTAAAGTTTCCAGGTTTCGTTGTTTTTTCACAGTTTCATTATAAAATTCTGTTTTTCTAATACAACCTTTGTTAAAAATTTGATGTGTAATAATAGTAGTACTACGTAAGACAAAGAAATAAGAAGAAGTACTGTCATTTGCCATGTCCAGGAATGACAGTTACTCTTAACCTATCATTCAACAGTTGGCCGGCACACGTGGCCGTTGTAAACTTTTTAACTGTCTTTTTCTTATGTGTTAAAGTATAATAATTTATTAAGTTTGGTCTTTTACACCATGCAATTTTTATATATTTTAAATTTTGACTCAATCAATGAATGGTGCGTAAAATTGTCACCTGTAAGTGAAACATCCACGAAAGACGAACCTCACTAACGTAAGTTTTTTCTCGATTTTTACAACCATTTACTACAACTTAAAAAAATAAAAATAGAAAAAATTACTGAGAAACGTTAAGAGACGTTCCTTAACAGTCCGTCGCAGAAAAACGAAAATATTTTTTTATTTTCTTCAGTTACGTTATATTGAGGTTGCACGTAATTAAGTATATAAGTAGCCTAAATGAAATTGAATAGCAATTAAAAACAGCAATTAAAAAAAATGTTTTACATTACAAGTTATTTTTTTTTTAATTATAAGTTCATAGCTATCGGTAGATGCTGGTCCCCTTTTGCTACTGAATATTTTGCCATGGCACAGAACCCTCTTCAGAATTAAAGTAAGCTGTAAATTTTTCCCTATTATCAAAAGCAGACAAAGCGCGTTTGATCCAAATCCTGGTAGACTTTCTAGTACACACACTCTCTCTTCATCTGAAAGCGAACTTTGAAGATAATGGGGTGTATTCTGTAACATTTCCGTTAAATTTAAGAGGCCTCTAAACTTTAACTTTTAACGGTCCTCTTAAAGTTT